TGTTTTCAAACAATTGATTCAAGTATAAAGATTATGTTCTCAAACTAACAATGGACTCATAACTCGGATTTTATCTATTTTAAATCATGTTTTCAAACAATTAGTTCAAGATTATAAAGATTATGTACTGTTAACTAAATCTAATTAACAAATAAACAATTAATTCAAGATTATATCGATTATGTTCACTAGAATCGATAATATCTAATTTCATCTTTTTAAAAATATTTGATTATTATTATATGGTTACTGATATAAGCTGATGATCAAAAATTCTTCTGGTTAATTTGGTTTTTAATCAAATACCGGTTATCAATCCCATAATTGGCTAACTTGGTTTTGTCTCACTGTTTGGCTAGGGTTGGTTTTGTTACCCATTTAAAATATACATCTATGATCTATCCATGATTATTTATGCTTAATATTCAAAATATTACTGCAACTAACCGGATTAACAATTGTGCACGTTAGTAACCAGATTTAAAACAAGCACAATTTTAACGTACAACTAAGATTGACGTCAATTATTATCCTTTTAGAATATACCAACGGATAACCATAGTTGTTCAGGTGGATTTGTCAAATCTTTTGATTTAATTATTGTTTTTCAAAATGTGATTTTGTACATAAATCCTTGAGAAAATATTTTTTAACTGGTGAATTTTACTTAGATCGCTATATATAGAATTCTTAATTCTACACCATTACCATCATAAAATTCAACATACCTTTTGTTCTTTTTTTCTTTCACATCCTCTAATGGTATTTTTTTCAGTTTTAGAATTTAATGTTACCGTAACAATTTCGACGGAAGGAAAAGAAGATGAAACACAAGAAAGTTTAGATCAAGTTGTTTCGTTAATCAAACAAAACATTTCTTTTCCAGCTTATATAGACATTTTTTATCAATTTTGGTTTTAAATTTTAACTAATGCATTTGTGTTTTATTTACAGATTTTCTATCAGAATTTAGATTGCATGTGCTGCAAACGGAATACGATTCGATTGTTTCATGGACATTTTACACCGAATGTTTTGTCGGAGAAATCAAATGTCAATGAGATGATTTAAATATATTCTTCAATGTACTCTAGATGATTATTTCATCTCTTTAATTTGCATAATTCATTTTGTGAGATATCAATTTGTAAAAACCTATGAACATGATCGAAAGTGTGGTGGTTTACGGCGATATGTTCGGGGTATTGAAGATTGTCCTTTCGTAATTTAAATAATTTTTAATAATTCATGATAGTTCAGTAGTAGTTTAGTTCATCATGAAAGTTGAAAACCCATGCTTTGAACCATGTTGGAGAATAATTTATTTTCACATCATTTTATAGAAAATTAATATCTTACTTGATTCTTTTTTTTTTAACACTTTTAAAACCCCATAGGGAAGGTGACAAGGTTGAGACAAAAATTAGAAAAACAAGAAACAGAGATACCAATAGGCATCAAACAGATCAAATAACCATTCCAACAAGGAGGGGGTAGACTTGTTGAAAAAAGAGGAAAGATGATAACTCCATCCGATCCTACCAAGCCCATTGTTCTTACTTGATTCTTATAAATAAGATTTTTATATTGAATTCAAATCTTAGCACTAGAAATTCGTTTCAATTAAATAAGTATTTATACGGTTTAAAATTTATTGCTGATTATTATAAAAAAATAGAATTATTCGACAATAAAAATGATATTTTGATTGTCATAATTTAATCTTTCAAGATTTCCTAAATTACTTCTATTTCGTTGGATTAGTAAATATTACATGAATTTAAATTTTTAAAAATTTAAAATTCATATTAAGGAACACAAATCCATCTAATTAAACATCTCAATATAATTTTTTCTGGTTTTTGTTTTGATTTTCATTTATTTTAGTTACTAACTTACTTATTTTTAGGATGACTTTAAATTGTATACAATCTTTTTGCTATGATAGAATTTGAAAGTCCTATTCACTCAACCCCTTATATATAAACCATATCATTATCACCATTTTCAATCATCACTTTTGTTTCTCAATAGCGATTTCCAAACATTCTATTTTTAATTTGTCATGGCTTATTTTTTTTCTTTTTGACAATTGAAATAGTTTTATTTATCAATTCAAGCTACTATGGTTTCTTTGTTGCTTGATCATACGGCTATATTATATATTATAGTCAATGTTTTTAATTGTCTTGCACTGATTGATCCGCAATTAATCCTTCCCGGAGAAACACGTTTTACTTTGCCTCTAAATATTCGTTTTGCTTTATTGTTTATTTTGTAGCTCAATCCCAAAATTTATGTCTTTCCAAC